CAGAGGGGTTAATGATGGCCTCTCCTTCTTAATGGTCTTACTGTTCCAAGCTTTTAGGTCAATTTTGCAGTCTCCTAGTTGCTCCTTGTCTCTTTCCTCTTCTTTTCCAACCTTGAAATGAATGTGATAAAAAAGCTGGCGACTTATCAAAAGCTTAGACAATCATTTTGTTAGGCTATAAGATGCAAATCTACCCTGCCTTCTACCTACACGCAGACATATTTGTTGCTGTGTACATGTTCAGATTCCATTCAAGGGCACTTGGTTTGCTCAGCCACTAATTTTTTTTTTATGAAATCTCCGTGGAACCCGTTGGGCAAAGATGGACTGGTTCTCAGGTGAAATCAATGGAGCTATGCCAGTTTGTACCACCTCAGGCTCTGGCACATAGCTTGCTGAATGTTTATAATTGAAATGCTATGTGGATGGGCCCTGACATCTCAGACATACTTAAGCAATAGTTTTTCAATCAGGGAAGCAGCAAACATTATCTTTTGACAACATATGCGGATAGCAAAATGTTATGTATACCAACTGGGGCTCCCACATCAATTAACCAACACAGAGCTGCCATGGATTGCAGTAGTTTGGAACTGTGAGACTACAAGAGACAGTATTTGCTGGTGCCAATTAAACTCAGCAACCCAAAAGCTATTTTCCACAAGCTGTTGAGGCTGCCACTTCACATACACTGGTAAAAGGGGGGGGGTCTCTGTCTCCCAGGATTACATGACAGGAAGAGAAAGCCTCTGTCCACATGCAATAAAACTGGTGGTGAAGAAGGAAATGGTAAAACACTAGTTGGCTATGGAGCTGCGGAGGAGGATTCAGTGTAGAGGATGTACACACGGACCAGCTTTCTGTACTGAGCTGCTGACTTGGGCGATCGCCGTTTGGTGAAGGAGAGGCTGGTTCTGGCGGAGGCTGCTCAGTGTGGGGATCCACGCGTGGCTGAGCCAATTGCATCCCTGAAGCTGGGCTTCGGTTACCATTGCAAGAGTTCAGGTTTGCCTCAAAAATGACACTTTCCCTTTGTACCTTCCCTTGAAGAATGGCAAAAAGCATTGCCAATTCCTGCGAGTTCACAGTGCCCCTCTGTGGGAGTTGGTCTCATGAGAAAAATCCAAGGTCCTGCCCCTTTCTCATCGTGTATGGGCTTTGACCGCTTTTCACTAAGAGTGCTAACCTGCAGACTCTAGCTGATGCTAATGAGTTTAATAGGATCCCAGTTTTACAGCAAGCCAGGAGGCTGCCCATGCAGGATTTCATTAAGACCGTCCGGAGCTCTAAACAGCCACCCCTTCAGTCGCAATGGGCTCCCTCCTGCTAGCCTCTTTTCAGGTGACAGACTGGTCATGGCAGTCCCCTCTTCTGTGGACGGGGGTAGGTTTATGCAGCCTGGACTCCTCAGAGAATGGAGTCGCATCTGCTAGGGCCCTGAGCTTTAACTTAGCATCTTTGGGACTATGCTCTTTTATCTGCCTGGCGATTCAGGAATATATACTGCATTGTTGGTTACCCTTGGGTTATGTGTACAAGCTTTTCTTTGCAACCACGAGGGCTAGAAAGGTAATTTTTTAACATTTGAATTTGAGATTCTAATGTTATTGTTCGTTTCTGGAAACAGGGGTCTCATTCACATACCTGTGCTTTACTCCAGCGCTGAATGAACTCAGTACTCTTCAGTCTATGCATCATGGGTCATGCCCCATTTAGGAGCAAGCTCTTCCTCAGGCCTCCCCAAGAAGAAGCCTTAGTCAGCCTCCCTCTCTTGACAGACACCCCTGAAGCCAGCCCTGGGGTGGCTTCCCAACAGGCAAGCCTCTGGCTTTGAGACTCTGGTTCTTCTCTGTCCCTGGCGATCCATAGTGCCCCTGCCTCAGAAAGCTCCTTATTTTCCATCAGCTTCCTGGAAGGGAGGCATTTTCATCTTCACGGGGGCGCGGTGGTCAGGATGCAGATGTCCCAAATGGCACAGCAGATTGCTCAGCTCCAAACTGTCTTTACTGTACCACTGCAGTTCCCTCTGTCCTCCCTGGGACTCGTTTCTCTCTCTGTGCCCTCCAGGGCTTTCCTAGAGCTACCCTTTCTCCCCTCAGTGCACATAAAGCCTCATTCTTTCTCCTCAAGCACAGTCCGCCACCCCTACACCGAAGCAGCTACAAAAGTACAGTATTCAACACAAGGAGTAACGGTCACCCAGTAAAATATAATCTCATGGGGAACTAACCAGGGAGCAACCCCTGGGCCTTGCTGCCAGGCCCAGACTGCCATCTTTCCTTGGGGTGAAAAGGGCAAATAGGTCCTGTTTGTGAAACTACAGGCAGCCCTTGGACTTATGACAAAATTGGTTCCTGAAAACTGGGTCTGAAGTTGAAATGTTGTAACTCAGAACCGATTTTCCCGTAGGAAACAATGTTAGAAATGGGGGATTGGTTCCCAAACCAAGGCCTGATACCCCAGTTTCACCAAAAATAACCCAGAATTTTGTACTTAATCAATTATAGATGAGTAATATAGCTACATGAATGTATTTATATTGTAAATCGCAATCATATTGATTTGGAAGGACTTCTTTGAGGTGACTTTGCTGGACTTTTTGAAGGGCTCTCGGCTGGACTTTTTGAAAGGTTCTTGGCTGGAGTCTTCTCAGGGGTCCTGGCTGCAGGTTTTCCTGGAGTCTTGTCTGCTTTCTTAAAGAAAGTGTCCAAGGAAGTTTGGGCAGACGTTCTCCAGGGAGATGGGTGACACAGCAAACTTGTTCGCTGGCCTGGCATCACATCGGATCAGATCAAGCGTTGTAAAGTCGAAACTGATGTCAGAAAGTTGAAACAAGGTGTCAATTTATAAACGATGTAAGTGTGAAACGCTGTAACTCGAAATGCTGTAAGTCAAGGACTGCCTGTATTTGCAGAACATATTTATATCAAAGCTTGCTCACACTATGCCCCCACAAAGTGTTCGCTGCAAGACTTGAAGGCCCGAACTCAGCCACCTAGAGTTTTTTGTCACACCAGGGTTTGCGTATCACAAGACAGCACTCCTAGGAAACTCCCTCACCTTCACAAGATGTTTTGCTGGGCCAAGATTATCAAAGCTCTTACATCCACAGTTAATGCATTTGAACAAATGCCCTGATTTTCAAAGCTATCCAGCTTATAGCCATACTGGTTTAGAGGAAAAGGCAATCAGGACTCATGGTAGAAATATCTTTTATAAGATCAACAAGATTTTTGCAAAAAAAAATTCTCCTGAGTGATTTTCAAAA